TATTAATATTTATCCCCTAAATGAAATTGATCCCATGCATGTGAGGTCCAGCGCGGCATGCAGCCGAGAGACGTTCCCACGTTTAAATATAAATTTCAGAGAGAAGGGGACGAGGGTAGAGAAAAAGTAACACGCGAGCCACGTGGCTTTTGGTATTGAGAGGGAGACGGAGAGCGTGAAACCCACGTAAAAAAATTATATAAATAATTAGATTAAATTAAATATAAAGTTTATTAATATATAACATAAAATTTAAATGTACGTAATTATATATAAAAATTGACAGCTTAACAAAATTTTTACAGGGGCAGCCAATTTTCAGGCCGATCTGCTAACTTTATTTTTTGGTCATGAAGATCTGCCAAATCTTTCCCACGTTTGATCACATTATTCTTTTAAGCAATTTTTGCAAGAAACGCATTCAGACTTGGAGTCTGCAAATTTGGACGTGACCAAAGGTTTCTTACTTTGGGCGGCTTCCACCAGGTGATAATGTTGGGATTGAAATGTACGGAAATAAAATAAATGATTGGTTTTTTTTTTGGAGAAAATAAATAAAATAAAATGATTTGATTTTTTTTTACTATTTTATTTGAATAATAATAAGTAAAATATTAAAAAATAAGAGTGATTTTATTAAATTATTCATATTTTAATTTGTAATTATGTTTTTGTAAGGATAGTCTTGACATTCTAAAAAAAATTATTCATTTAAATTATTTATTGTCAAATTTTTACCAACTTTAATGAGAAAACAGAGTCGTATTTTTAAAATACTTTGTCTTATTATTTCTTACTATATTTCTAATATCAAAACACAACAATTTTATTATTTCTAATTATTTCTTGTCTAAATGAAGATTTTCAAATAAACATCGTTTATCTGCTAAAACATAAATATAAATAAGAAGTAAAAAGGGGTCACCCATTTTGTAACTTAAAAGGTTAAAAACAATTATGCATGTACAAGGTGAAATAGTATAGAATATCATCAAATGAAAGAACGTGAAGACTTCTTCAATTCACTCATTTAAATTAGGTAATTTGTGACTAAATTTATGAAGAACTATCTCGTCTCGGCAAAAAGGACATTCATGATTAAATCCCAGAAGATGTAAAAATTTTATTTCCTACACGTTTCAAATGATATTATTGCAATTTGATTCTCTCTTTCCAAGAAAAACCACTAAGAGGGTGTTTGTAATGACTTCTAGGAAATGATTTTTCAATTTTCAAGGTGTGAAAGTGATTTCAAAGTGTTTGACATAATTCTTTTGGCCCCAACTTTTCTGAAATGAGTTATAAACAACATAAAATTAGAAATGGGTGGGAGTGCGTCATCTTCTAATTTTGTAGAAGTATTTGCAAACACTTGCTGAGCACATGAGTTAGCCCCCTATTAAAGATGTTATCATTTGACATTGAAACTACATGACTAAATGAGTTAAATCCTTAAGTTATTCGTTTCTAACAAAAACCCTTCCACCCCAAACCCTTCCACCCCTCTCTCCTTTCTCCTCCCCCAACAATGTTTTAAAAACCAAACTAGACTAATGTCATTGGGTTAAGCAAATGCTAAAAAATTTGTTGCATTTATTAACTAGAGATCGGCCTATTTCCTGTCAAAAATAATAATCTTTCTCTATTTTTTAGTTTCTTATCAAAATGTTGTATTATGAACTCTTTTTAACCTTGGCATGTGCCCCCACATACCCTTTGGAACTTGCCCCACACACCTCACACTTTCCCACGCGCACATGTGCTTGAACGCACCCTAGGCCTCATGCCTGTGCACCTAGATTAGCCACGCACGTGCCTCATGCACTAGATAACCGCACCTCCTCACTCGTGGGCCCCTGTTCACATGCATGTAATGCACGTGCGTCTTCTTCTCTGTCCTCACACTCTAGTTCAATCCACAACCAAAGACCCATGAGAACAAGGAAGGAACAAATAGGATTACAAGCAAAACTCTACCCAACCTTTGTTAATCACATTGGATTACAAAGGAAATTCTCTTAGAATCTCTCTCTCTCTCTCTCTCTCTCTCTCTCTCTCACTAGATCTCTCTCTTTGGATCGAATCCCATTTGCAAATTGGGGATTACAATATTTATAGGCCTTTGGAGCCATTCATCCCTATCTCTAATCTCTCTTGATTTAGAATTTGATTTGGTTGAGCAGTGTGAGCTTTTATCTTCTAAAGCTTATATTCATCAATTGAATTTTGATTATACACGATCTTCTCAAGACCCCACTCCTTTCGCCCATCCTAACCTTCTTCTTTGTAGATAAACTTTAATAGCCTAGATCTGTCTTTCTTAGATTCTTCGAACCTCCAAGCCAACTCCCTTGCACCTACAGATTTTGTACACCCAAAAGCCTTCATTTTCTCTTCGTACCTAGTAGATATGGATTAGAGTAAATCTTCCTCGTTTTCTCTTCGATCAGGCTTCTTTCCACATTGCTGACATTGCCACTTGCCTCTAGTGCTGACAACCTCCATGGAAGCTTGACAAAGCTTCCTTGAAAAGCTTCCATGGCTTCCGACCTCATTAGTAGACCCAATTTATGTTTTGGGACCCAATCCAGCCTATTTAGCCACCCAATCTAGTCCACCTAAGTTAGCTTGATGGGTCGATCCAAGCTTGAATGTCAATAGCCCAGTCCCCTGATACTAGGTCAGTCCATGGTCCTCCCTTCTACTCTGGATTCTTCCCTTCTTGGGCTGGTCCAATGGGTTGAACCAAGCCCTCAGATTAGGGGCCCTGGCTTCTTGTTGTAGGGTTGGCCCAGACCAATCTTAGTCTGCCCAATATTGGCCCACTTGGGCAATTTGTGCTTTAGCTCAACCCAAGCCCAAGTCACTTATCTAGTGTAATCCCGTTGGCCCATTCCTTAGCCTTGCGGCTTTAATCCAAATCCAATCTCCTTAGCCCTATCAACCCTAGTCTAATTTTAAGCCCAATACTAACCCATATCTAATTCTAATTCCAAACTCGACCTTTTTTTTTTTTTTACCCAATTCATGGCTCATTTGAATTGAGACTGCTCAAACCCAAAGAAGCTAACAACTAGCTAGATTGACCCGTTTGATTGCGACTCAACTTAGAAAACAGTCTACTTGAGATCTTTTAACCGCAATTGTAACCTAACTGGTTAAAAACTAGTAAAATTAGTTAGTTCTAGTTGGTTTGTTAAATTCAATTTTAACCAATTTAGAATAATATTTTTATTTAAAATTTTTATTTTGATTTTATTTAATTTTAAATTGTTATACTTATTATAAAGTGGAGAATATTGTCATTTTATAATTAAAATATATATTTATTAAAATTTTATTTTAAAATATTTTATATTGTCAGTCAATTTTACTAATAATCAAATCGGTTGAATTATGATATAATGAGTTTGTTAATTTGATCACTGACCGCGATTTTAATATATTACTCTCAAAAATGAAAAAGTTTAAAATATTTATAAATTATGTAAAAGTGAAAATGTTAGGAGTAAGATAACAATGGTTAGGCTTAGGTATGTAAATGGGTTAGATTCAGATCAAATCAGGATGATTCGAATCTGAATCTGATTATCAATGTATATATTTGAATTCGACCAGAAATCCTATAATATTTCTACTTATTATTACCATATTCGAATCCAATAAAATCCAAAATCTGAATGAAAAATCTGATCTGAATAATAGTTAATAATAATTAAAATTAAATAACCAATAAATAAAAGATATATAAAATCAAATAAATTGTTATTTATGAATGATAAAAATTCATATAAGATTTGTGTTTAATTACTTTAATTTTATTAAAATATAAATGAAATTCAGAAATAAATTATTATTTATAAATGATTAAGAAGAACTTTTGTTCTATAATTTATTACAAAAGTTATGATAGGATTCCAATATTTTATAAAATTATGAAGTTTTATTTGTATTATAGTTAGAATTTAAAAAATTTTATAATCAATTTATTCAAGTGTTTCATGAAATTTTAAAAGTAATTAATTATTAAATATAATACCTACTAGAAAAATTAAAATTAGGAATAGTAAAAAAATATTATAGAATAGTTTACATAAGATATACATTATTCTATTAAATAAAATATTTCACAAATATAAATTAGTATATTACTAATTATAATGTCATATATATTACATTATATATAAAAGTATTTATTAATATACATATATGATTATTAAATAAATAAAAATATTATTAAAATATTCAAATTCAAATTTTTAACAGATCGGATTATTTTATTTCATACCTGGTCCACTTATTTCGGATTATAGATATTTATAATTAGATTTTATTCATCAGATATTTTAACCAGTTAAAAAGTTTTAAAATCGGATTGATTCAGATCGGATTCAAATTAAAATCCAACCTATTGACAGTCCTAACTAGGCTCCCTTCTATCACTCCCTTCTATTATCACATACCCTCTTTTGACACGTGGAGCCTTCCTATATTATATACCATATGAATATGCAATTTTATTACATTACTTTATATATTTCCAGTTGTGCACTTAAATTTGTGATATAATTTGGGAAACAATAAATTTGCAAGGGAAAAGACTAAAAACTAACTAAAAGGCAGCATTAGAATAAAAAAAAATTATGATGAGACTTTATTGACGGTCCTTACCCGTTACCAATTATTTAATACTGTTCTTTCCCTGATATCACGTTTTTCTTAAATTGAAATTATTATCCTAAACAATAATCATGTTCCCACAGAAAGAAAAAAAAAAAAAAAGAAATCCAAATCAGGAACCCTAGCAAATACGGCCTTCGCCGGCAACTCCATATATTTCTCTCGTGCAGAGGTAATCCAAGTAAACCGTCTGCTCTGCGTGTGAAATGTGATTTTTACAGGATAAACTATGATTTCCTTGATAGCCGCCATGTCTATATATATATTTACACCTGAGCTTGAAGAAGACATCATTTCGCAAAGAGCTTATTCGCTCATTAATGGCTGCCTTTCAGTGCAAGAACCCTCACGCTTTCGCCTCCTCCCCTGCATTTATTCGCCGATCCATCTCGTCCGCCGCCCCAGTTGCCAGGATAATCGGCGACACAAGAATAAAGTGTACAACGTTGGCGTCTGCTTCGCCCGCGGTTCTTAATAACTCAACAGCCCCACCGTTAACATCTTTTAATGAGGTCTGACCTAACTTTTTTCTCCACTTTATTTTGGCCCCTTGGTGACTTATGATCAATGAAGTTTTATAATTGTGGTGCGATTCGTTGCAGTTGATTGAATCTTTGATCAAACGAGTGGACCTGTCTGAATCGGAGGCTGAGGCGTCGTTGGATCTTCTGCTGAACGAAGCCAATGAGGCATTAATCAGTGCGTTTCTTGTTCTGCTGAGGGCCAAAGGTGAGACGTATGAAGAGGTAAGCTCTTCTGCAACAACCCCAATTTTTTTTTTTTTTTTTTTTTTGTGGGTAGAAGAAAGAGTAAAATCTAACCCATTAACTCAAATGCTAGAAGGTTAGACGAGATTTTAAACTATACACACAACTCACGCACACGGTACACAGCCAATTTGGGATAAACCCACCACAAGGAGCTGCAAATACAAGGTCATTTTTTGGTAGAAGAAGAGTCAAATCTAACCCTAATATTTGGTTTTGTTAGTTAGTTTACTTGGTTTTGATTCTAATTAGAAACATTGATTTCTAATTGATTTACGTTTCGTGTGCATTTGAAGAAGTTTTTATGCCGTAACCATGGGCATGGAAAGAAGTGTTTGACTGCTAAATTCTGTGTGTTTATCTTTTCTCTTCTCTTCCTACAATTTCTCTATGTCCATCCACTCTCCTATTCTCTTCTTCTCTTGCTCTCAATCTTGCTCTTCTATTCTATCCCTGCATTTTCTCAGAAATCTGTAAACTGGGTGTCAAATTGCTTGGGACAATACAACCTTTGCTCCCTCTCTCTCTGTATACCTGATAAATGCACTTAATAAAAGGTGGTAGGATTGGCAAAGGCGATGTTGAAGCACAGTAAAAGGGTGGATGGTTTGGATGAAGATGGTGTTGACATTGTTGGGACTGGAGGCGATGGTGCGAACACTGTGAATATTTCAACCGGTGCTTCCATTCTAGCAGCAGCTTGTGGGGCTAAGGTTGCGAAGGTATGGACACTGATTTTGAATTTAAAAATTAAGTTGTTGTTTGGAATGACTTGAGAGTTTGAAAAATAATTGGTGATCTTCATTGCAGCAAGGTAGTAGATCGAGTTCCTCAGCTTGTGGCAGTGCTGATGTGTTGGAAGCCTTGGGGGTTGCAATTGAATTGTGCCCTAAGGTTTGTGTGATTCATGAAATGTGATTATTAGCTGTTGATCCAACTGGTTTTTGATTGTGAGTTTTTGGTTTATTCCAGTATTCTCTGGTATCCTTGATCCTGGATTAAGAAAGTGACAACAGCAATTTGGAGAACATCACCTGTGATAATCTGAGTTATCATAAGTGAAGAAAAGTCTTCTTCTCCTTTTTTTCCCTCGGGGAAGGGCTATGATGCCATGGATTGAATCTTGGCCATAACCTAGTTTAAAGTACTTTTATCAGCTGGGCTACTTATTTGCTCCAATTTTGGAGCAAGATTGATTGAAGTAAACCAAAGACAAACCTTGAACGTTAATTTTTGCAAGGTTTTAAGATCCTATTTATCTCATTTAAATTGTGCAGAGGTTTCATCCTTGCCAAACTCAGGACGTATCATTTAAAACAATTTTCTACCAACAATTTCCTACTGAATGCATTATTTAATGATATTAGCAGTTAAAACCACAAGATAAGAGGGTCTTCAAGGACGTTATTTGAGAGTGAATGGTCCTTGTAAAGTGTGTTATTGTGGAATAAGAAAATCAATCTGCATTCTTCAATACTTTCATAACTACGATGTAACTCTCTCTTTTTCTTTTCTTTCTTTCTTTTTTTATTTTTGGTGGTGTCAGGGGGTAAGAAGATGTGTAGAAGAAGCAGGAATTGGTTTCATGATGGCTCCTACTTACCATCCAGCAATGCAGATTGTCAGACCTGTGAGGAAAAAGCTGAAGGTGAAAACCGTATTCAACATTTTGGGTCCTATGTTGAATCCAGCACGGGTTCCTTATGCCGTTGTTGGTGTTTTCAAGGAAGACCTGGTAGGTGGATATGGTTTCTTTCTTTTTATTTGTCCTTGAGGTCTTTTTTTTTTTTTTTTTTTTTTTTTTTATAATATACACCTCAATTGCTTCTTGTTTTTCTACTTGATGTTACTCTTATTGTTGTGTATTTTCATGTATAATTGATTGCATATATTAATGGTTAATCGGTTACTTTAGTTATGAATAATCACTTATCCTAATTTATGTGTGTGTTTATGTAAAAAAGGACATGGTCTCTCAGTCACTCAAGGCCATACATTATATTACTTGCTTCCCATATCTGAATTTCCAAATGGTATACCATTCTATCTTGTGGCAGGTCTATAAGATGGCAAAAGCACTTCAAAAATTTGGCATGAAAAGGGCATTGGTTGTTCACTCAGAAGGACTCGATGAAATGAGTCCTCTTGGTAAGCTTTAACTTTGGCTACATCTTAATATTCTGTTCCCTGTACTTCTAATTTTAGAATCATGCTAAATGTGTTTTGACCTCGCTCAAAACTAAATTAATTATTTCGCCATTGGCAGGGCCTGGATTAGTCCTTGATGTCACCTCGGACAAGATAGAAAAGTTTTCATTTGACCCCTGTAAGGCTCTAACTTTGAGATTGGTGAATATTTTATTTTGACTGTTAATTATGTTATGCAACTTCATAGCAATCAGCAAAGATTTGCCGTTCACTAGAACTTATAGTTTGGTGCTGTTCTTTCTGTTGTAAAATACTTACTGCTAATAAGCTTTAAGACATTTTATTTCACAAGTCATTATTTTTAAAGAACAAAATTCTTTTTACAGTGGAGTTTGGAATCCAGCGCTGTAACCTGGATAGCTTGCGGGGTGGAGATCCACAGTATAATGCAGAAATGCTCAAGCAAGTACTATCAGGAGAACAGGGTTCCATTGCTGATGCACTTGTGAGTTCCTTATTAGCTTAATAGTGCTTGTTTTGAACTAATTTTTCTTTTCAACTTTAATATAACTCCAACTAAGTTCTAAAATAGGAAAATTTGATATGCTGCTATAGTTGAACAACAATACAAATGAACCAGTTAGTTTTGCACCATGCAGCATTATGAATGTCTCCATCATGTTATCATTCTTGATGCATCTTTAATCTTTTTGAATTATTTGTCACTATTCATAGCTACATTTTAATGCATATAAGAGGATGAGAGTGTGCATTGTTGAACTTACATTTAAATTTTAAAAGCTTTCATGTCTTGTATATACACTGAAGTTAATGTTTAGGAGCTTGCAGAACAAATGAGAATACTAGTGTTGATTAAAAATAAAATTAGTACTTTAGTTTCTTTAGTGTTCAGGTGTTCTCATGTAATGGCTTGCTAATTTTTCTCTTGAGAAGTAGTAGTGCCTAATTCTAGCTTCTGAAATCCAAGCACAGTGGGCCAAAAAAAAAAATATGAGAGAGAGAGAGAGAGAGAGAGAGAATAAAAAAAGATAAGCTCCATTTAAATGAAATGACAGTCTGATTGATGGAGCTGCACATATATCTGAACAAACTCAACTTGGCCCATTTGGATTTGTTTTTGAAAATCCAATTTCTATTTTTGAAAACTGGACCGATTTGACAGTTTGTTCTTGAAAACTGTTTTTAGAAGACTTTTCAAAAAACAACAGAGTTATTTTACAAATTCCCAGCGATTTTCCTCACTTGAAAATGGAAATGATATAAGTAAAATATAGCTTTCAAGATTTTCCATGTCTTCTGTTACTGGCAATGCAGCAAACCAAAACTGAGAATAGAAAACGTGAAAACATTAAAACAGAATATAAATCCAAACAGATTATTTTTAGATGTTATCACCAAATACCATTGCCATTGTTCTCCCCAACTGACTTTTGTAATAAACAATCAATCAGGTCCTAAATGCAGCAGCAGCTCTTTTGGTCAGTGGACGTGCAAGCACTCTAGCTGAAGGAGTGGCCCTCGCTCGTGAAACACAGAAATCAGCAAAAGCTATGAAGACCCTCGACTTGTTGATCAATACCTCCAATGTAAGTCACTTTTACCTGCACCTACAGATATACTGAAGCATTGCTGACACTTTTAGAGCCTGCTTGGATTTGTTAAAACAAAAAACTCGTTTAGCAAGTTTTTTCTAGAAACAGTCAGAAAACTGGCCTTTCAGAAGACAATAGAATTGACAGAAGTTATTTCACTCAAAATAAAAACAATTGAGTTTTTCGACATTTCAGTATTTTCTGTTTTTGAATACATGGAAAATGAAAACTGAAAACAAAAAATCAGAAATTACTCTCATATATATGACAGGAGGTAAAACCGTGAAAGAAGCATCCTGTATGGGAACTTCCAGGCCCGAACACTGGTCTCAGAGCTTCAATCGTGGTGTTAGTTTAGAAGATGCCTGCAACTGTCCTTTTTTTAAGGCAAGTGGGTTTTTTGACATTTATTTGTCCTGTGAGGTATTTCTTTCTTTACTCGATTGTTGCCTCTGGGAATAAGAGCATGATGTATTTTAAAGTTAAAACATACATTTTTTGTTTGTAATGTGTCTGGTTGAATGAATGGGTTGTAATATCATGTACTAAGAAATTCTGGCAATTTTGTTTCGGCATGCAGAAGAAATAAAGACGAAATATTTGAGAACAATTCCAGTTTAATTTCCTTGGGCAATACAATCAAGAATTCTGTCTTACTGATTCCTCGTTAGCACTTGTTTTTTTTTCTGCTACTAATTGGAATAATGCTGCGGATGACTCTTCATGGCCGCCCCCCGCCCTCGCCTCACCTCCTCCACCCCCCCCCCTCCGGCAAAAAAAAAAAAAAAGGCGGGGTTGTTTAAAAATGGTTAGTAAAGCGTTTTGAGGAATGCTTTACTGAGAACTTATCAGCAAGCAATAGGGTTTCCCTTTCCCCGTTTCTGAGTTCAAAATGGAGTATAATGATTGGAGCCCAGTTCTTGGGAAGAAAAAAAAAATAGTCAGTAAAGCAAAATTGGAACTTCTATTCCTACTTTTCTTTCAGATAATCACTCTAAAATTTTTTTTCATCTCATCTTTTTTATAAGCAAAAGAGTGATAATAACAAATTGTTTCTTTGCATCCTTGCTGTTGTCTATTTTTCCTCTCATTGACTTGTAATTCTTTTGAAAATATGAACATAACTATCACTTTGCCATCTACTATTTTAAAAGTCCAAATTTCACCCTTTTCTCTCTTCAAATGCTCAACGGGGATGGCCCACTCTCCATTTCATAGGAACATATACGTAGAGATTTTCATTTGGTTGATAAGAACACGTAGGGGTTTGCTTTTGTAGATATCCTTGGAAAATCAAAGAAAGGAATATTCAATTACCTAAGATTTTCTCTCTTTTGTTCATGTTCATAGGCACAGAACTCATTGACATGAACTTAAAGAAAGTACAAAACAAAAAAAGCTTGTCGACAGGAGCTGGCTTTTTAGGACGTAATCCTACAGCTGAGCTTTAAGAGGAGGTGTTGCTGACGGGGATGGCACCAGCCACAGCAAGAAGGGGAATAAGCACACCCACTTTGTACTTCTGTGAAACCCTTGCATATTCCCAATTGACAGATTAATATTACACCTAAAAGATTGTAAAATATAATTGACTAGAATGAATTTTTAACCAAATACCCACCACTATTTTGTGTATAATTTTTTGAAAACATATATTCTCAAAAGAAACTCTTTTAAAAACGGAAGGTAACTGCGAAACATATATCTAAAAGGAACAAGAAGGGGAAAATAGGTGTAGCTGAAAAATAGTTTAATGTCAGAGATGCCGACGTGTCTGCCGGCGATGAATCCGTTGGGAACAGTCATCTGGCCGGTCCACTCCGCCAGGGCTGATTGCACTTCAATTCCATTATCTTAATTTAAACAATAATTTATAATTAATTATAAATTCATTCTGTAATAATTAATAGACCCTTTCATTAATAAAATAATGAAACTCGAACAAAATTAAGATGAATGATGAAAGAAGCATGCACTTGACTTACTTGCCTCGCTCAGTTCAATGACATTGCAAGTAGCACCAAGCTGGGAGACAAGCTGCTTCACTTTGTTGCAACATCCACGGTATGTTTTGCAACAACAAATCGAGTAATCAACCAAGAATCTCATACTAGTTAGACTGTCAAATCAACTAAAACATGAAAACTTGAAAGCTTTTAGACCTTTTTAATCTCTCTACTACAAAGACTGTGCTAGCACAAATCTTCTCTGCTTAATAATAATCTACTATACATGGATCTCATCTTCACACAGAGAGAGAGAAAGTGCCTGAAGACGACGACGGAGGTGGAGTTGACAATGTCTTTGACCTTTGACAGAGCCATTAATTCCTTTGTTTCTCTATCTATTGGATTTTTTTTCCTTTTTTGGGCTGTGGATCAGATCGCTCTCATCTCCTTGCTCTTTCAATTGATGCATCTTAGCTCTCATAGCTGTGTTAACCCAAATGGATTTAAGCGGTGGAAGGGGGAATAGGTGTCCAAAGTTGGCTTCGGGGGCGTGCCCAGGATGCCCACCACGCCCCAGGTGGCAGCTGGGGGCGCCGGGTTGATATCCAAGGTGGTTTCTGGTTTCCAGATGACAAAATTAATCTAATTCTGCCAAATAATTTGGTCCGTGAAATTTAAATAATTAATTTTGATCATTTAAATCTAAGCAATCCCTTGGTAGATCCATAGAACAAGATTGAATAAAGATTAAACATTATAAAAATCTTAAATAAACAGTATTTTGAAGAAAAGATCAAATAAATACATAAATTATTAAATTAATTCTATTGTTACGAGTGGCGAAAACGGGCAGTGACTAGAGGTTGAAAGGTAGGTAGCAGTGGTCACTGGTTGACAATAGATGTAACGGTGACAAGTATATTTTAATAATTTGACTAATAAATAGAAATGTAAATATCATTAAAAATGAATACCGATATTTATCTTCTCAAAACAAATTTATCCAAATACCGATATTTAACTCTTACTCAACTAATTTATCCAACCCATCGAACACAAATTAAAATGAATAAATAACCTTTACTCACCTTTATTAACTTTATCCGAGTTATCCAACATTTTCTTAGTGAATGCCTTTTGCTTCGGAACAATGTAACCTTTTATTTATAACTTCTTTTGGATGCAGTGATTTTAAAAGATAATAGAAATTTTCTTCTAAATAACTTGTTTAAATTAAATTTTAGAAAAGAATTTGAAAAGGGTTAGAATTTCAAATCTTTTAGAACATTAAAGAAATTTGGAGTATAAAAGTAATTATTTTTATTAAATTTTTAATTATCAGAATTATTAGGCTAAATGTGACAATTATAATATCTCTACGTTTAAGTTTAAAAATAAATATATAAACTCCGAAAAAATTCTCCCGTTCCCTGACTGCCGTGTGTGTCACCTAGAAGCAAACATGTCTTTCAAATCCTTGTACAAGTCCTTGGGTTTCAACTTAAAATCGACCGGGGGAGCTCCGGCCCGGCTCCCACCCTCGCCACAACTCCAAAAACCACCCCATCGGGACCGACTCGTAGAAGGATCGGTCCCGGGTCCACTCCTATCTTTGCTAAAGCTCGCCCTGGCCAGTTCCCTCAACCTTTTCACCCGGTTGAACCGTTATTGCCCGGTTCGCTCTCCCTGCGTCGGTTCAGCACGAACCGGTTCTCCAATTTTTTCGTCGTGTTGCGTGTAAGGAAAAGCAGAAGAAGCCCAACTGCGGCCATTTTTAGGCCTAATAGGAAAGAGCCATCTGGGTCAAGCCGCTTTGTCTGTTCGTATAAAGCGTACCATCCATTGCTTAATTGCGCCAAAAAGGCAACAAAGGACAGCAAAATCATAAAGATCCCGACCTTCATCTCGCCCTCGATCGTAAATCCCTTTTCTGAGAGAACCAAGCAAGTCGCGAAAATCCCCACCTCGCCGGAAAGGGAAATAATCTCCACCAGTTGAACCTTTTTCTTAATAAACGGCTTCTTCAGAACCAGAAAGAAGAGCTGGAACGAGGCGATACAGAGTAAGACGACGATGGGAGTTTTTGAGGCCCAATTCTTCGAATAAGCGCCGGCGACAAACCCTAGATAGAACCGTTTCATCGATTCGAGAAACGTGTAGTAAATTCGGAGAACACCAAACAGTTTCTGAACGCAAGTCGCCTCGGCGTCTTCCGTTTCGTCGTCAGAGGCCATTATTCTGTCACCGGCGGGCGGCTTTTGTGGGTTTCCTCGGGAGATCTGAGAGAGCATATACTTTGGTGGGCCCCGCAGGTCTTCAAATAATGGACCGAACATGGGTAGGTAAACAGAGTTGGGACTGGTCTTCCAGGTCCACTGAGCTCTTTTTCCGGGTCCCAGGGTCGCCCGAACAATGGCCCGGTACCAGTGAAAGGTCCGGCTCTCTTGGTGTATTTCCTTGTAATGGAGGAGTTTGCCGTAGGTGATACCGACAGAGAGGAAGAGGAATAGTGCCAGGAGGAGGAAAGATACGATGCTCAATAGGAAAGTACCAACAAGGATCCCTGAGGATGATCCTTCTTGAATCATAAGGAGAGTACAGAATTAGAAGTCATGACTCACATTAAGCCTAAATCTAAACAATAAGTTGAATGTGCAATAAATCGTGTTTGGGTTTAGTTTTAAGAACTGTTTTCTGTTTTCCGAAAATCAAAATGCAGATTGTTTTTGAAAACTCTTATGTGAGAATTTTCAGAAAACAGGTTCCTTTAAAAATGGCAACGATATTTAAACAAGTTTTCGAGATTTAAACGAGTTTTCTAGATTTTAGACGTTTTCTGTTACCTTTGATTAGAGTTGCTGAGCCTTGACAAATAGCGGGTATTGCAAGAATAAGAAGAAATATTTCAAATCTTGGAAAAGGAGTGCTCCATAACTGTTCTCGTTTTCAGTGTTTTTCTTCCTCAGCTTCAGAATTAACAGAAGCAAGACATGCAGGAGGATCAAGCTTCCGCCAATAACGGCTAACCAAAACATGTTTCTCTCGAAATCTCTCCACCTGAAACAAAAAATCAATCAGACAAGGTCAAATAAAAAAAAAATTATGAAACATAAATAGAGGATGAGTTGTACCAACAGCTTACCCATTTGAATTATGTGGTTCCATTAAAGATTCAGCTTCTGGCTTAATATTGTGGCTCTGCCAATAAATCGATTCTTTTAGGAAAATTCCAACAGGATTTAGAACCATATTCAAGAAAACTTGTGAGTTCTTGTACCTCGAAAAATGATCTGTACTCCATGGCAGTCAGTGGCAACCCATAAATCGAAGCAGCTACATATGAATTTGCCGCTTGTGATTCCACATTCTTAAAAGACTCGGGCCTGTGAATTTCGGAATAGTATGAATGTGGAGTAGTAGAATTTGAGCTGACCGGAAAAGGATGAATTTGCCTCTTTTCCCAAGGGAGACTGAAGTAGGGGATACTCCATTGTAAGCCTCGAACAAATTCACAGTACTCGATTGGCAAGGTCACAGCCAGCCATCTAGACAGTGCAAAAACTTGAATGTGGCATGCTATTCTCTGCATCAACAGAAAGAACAAAAAAGTAAAGAGTCAAAATTAAAGAACAAAAATGCTATAGGAAGTTTTTCTATGCCCAAATTGATCACACTAGACCACTAGTGGTAGTGATGGTATCTTTTTTCATTTCATTTTTTGGTGGACAGTGAATTAGTTAATACGTGTTTGCATGAATTGTGTTCCTGCTGACTCAAAAAATAAAGTCAAATTGTAATAAAATAAATGGTGAAAATAGGTAAGTAAATACAAAAAGATTCCTTGCAGGATCAGATGTCAACGATGAAGATGGTACTGAAAATGCCCCAATGGATTGAAGGCTAGCAGTTGAAAGAGTCAGAAGCCCGGCTACTATTGCTGTCACCACGAAAGAAACAGATGCAATTGTGGAAAGAACAGATACCACAGGCACAAAATCTGTACATGGTTAATTGCCCAGATTAAAAATGATTGAAAGAAAAGAATATAGCGAAAGACTAAAACAATTTGAAATAGGAGCTTTGGATAGGGAAAATAAAAGAAAAAATATAAAATCCTTACTGTGCCTCACTTGTAGAATATTGGATGGCATATTTTTGTTTCCAGCAACATCTTCTGTAACGTTCTCAGGAATACTAATGGACACAGTGTAATTGTATGCTTTGGTCTGTACAACATATATGCTCCTGCTCACTTCTTGAAAGCTGAATTCATAAAACAAAATGATTGGCTAAAAAGATGAAAGGAAAGAAAGAAAGAAAGAAAGAAAGAAATCTACTAGTTCATACAAGTGAAATGCTTTCTTTTTTCTGCAATAACTGAGTCTGGCAATGCTACTTCACAATTTCTCATGGTTTATACCATACGAAAATCTGTTTTTGAACGTGATAAGTATATAGGTATATACTTGCATAATTTTTCTATTGAAGCTTTTAAGAGAAAATAAGTTACCTATACAAATGCCCTCCACTAATCGATAAATAGGAAGAGTTGAAGCCGAATACAGGCTTTGTGAACTTTATCAACACCGAATTATGGCTCGCTCTTTTCCTTGTGCTAGATATTGTTGTCAACCTCACTGAAGGCCTCTGAGAATCTGAAGATAAAATCCAAGCCAGCCCATGTCAAAATTACAGAAAATAATTAAATAAATAAGTTAATTTAACTCATTAATGCAAATTTTGAAGTACCAAAAAGAAAGGTAACTGGAGCAACAGGAGAAACTGCAGTGCCCTGTCTGCTAATTATTAAGCTAGAATTGAGGCTGATTGTGACTATGGAAACAGTAGATAGATCTTCCACCTGAGTGTTGAAAATGAAGCTTAATGATTAACACAAAAATCTAACAAAAAAAGAGTTGCAGAGGCCTATTTGGATTTATTTTTGTTTTTAAAACTGTTTTCTATTTCAAAATCCAATAACTTGCTTTGGCACCAAGAATAGAAACAAACACAAACAGGCCTGCATTTTCAAAGGATCCTATAAGGAATATGAAAGCTTCATGTGAATAGCAAACTGACCATAAAACCGAATCGGCGATTTCCAAGGCTATTTCCACTAATAGGAAGGAATAAGCCCTGACTTGTGTGGAGAGACTTCAAAATTTCAGCAGATGAGTTGAAAATGGGTTGTGAGAAGTAGAAATATACTTTTAGGTTTTCATGGTTATTAGTAGCCTGTACGGTTCTAGTTTCACCATTAAGTTGAATTAGCTGCTCTGGGACATGAGTCCTTATGTTGACAAAGACGCTTCTTCTATCTGTAGAATTCAGAAACTGAAGTATTAAAATTCAATGCTTTATTCATATAAAAAAAGGAATTCAAATCCATCTTTATTGTTCTTAACCCTTTTAAAGAAGCATCAATGAACCATAGATAATTGAATAACAAGATAAAATCAGGAAAAAAAAAAAACTCACCAAAACGTACAAACAAATGTGATTTTTCCGTTCTTGTAAATTTATTTCCGGCTAGATCTGTACAGAAGTTTCTGTCCATGACTAAAATTACTCGTCCATATTGTATACTTGAATACAAACTTACAGTAAGAGAATATTCAAGGCCAGGCTCAATGATGTTGAGTGTAGTAGGTACAACTTGACCAGCACCATAGACAAGAAGCTGTAATGAGATAGCCCTTTATCAATGAGACTTTAATTTTCAAAAAGGGAAATCACAACTAAAATCGCTGATCAGAAAGAATTTCAAGAAAATCACAAAGTTGACCATGCATTCAAGAAATAAGACACGTGAAACTAGTTGTAAATAATACAACATTATTTCAGAACTTAGGCAAGTATGCTATTGCTAATTAGCCAGAGAGAATCTTTCAGAACTATTTTGAAGTCCTATTATGGTATTGTTACAAATTTCCACTGATAACCATAGAGTGTGGAAAGAGTAAAATGTTAAAGAAGCCTAAACTCTCTAAACCACAATTTATAAGCAAGGTGAAAGTGAGAGTAATAGAATAGGGATGCAAAAAACTACTGACAAGCTTTAACTTTCAGGTGGTTGCAAACTCACATTGCAGGTATCCGTGGAGGAACATCTGAAACCGCCTCCACCAGTACATGGCTTGCTGAAAGAAATATTTACGGGAACATTAAAACTATTTGTATAAGATGTCGCTGCTGTAATGTATGCAGTGGGAGGAACGGTATCTGCATTGTTAAGGTAAAACTACTGTCAGAAAAGTGCCGGCACGGCTAATCTCAGGTCAAATTTTAGTTGCATTTTCCTTCACTCTTCATAATTTTGCAAATCGGAAGACGTATTTGTTGTTTACCATTCTATTTTGATGGATGTCGGGAAAAAATCAAACAAATAAAAATTTGAACTTTACAATCTACAAAAATATCATTGTCCGTTGATCAACACTCCAAAATAAGATCTCATAAAGTATGAAAGATGTTCTCCTGACCAATTGTCCAGCTATAGTTAGCACAGCCAATGCCTTGAGGCCCGTTGGTGCAGACATCAAAATTATGATTTCCATCCTTTAAACCCATGTAAGATGCTTCTCCATTGTCACAATTGGAAGGTACGCCGTGGTCAAGCTGCGCTAACAGGGTGTAAATTATGTCAGTTAGGATTCCTTGTAAGCCAAAATTTAAAAACAAAAGAAAAACGCCTAAAAGTTAATTATAATTCAATAAATTGTGTCTCAGTTACAGCACATTCACTCAGCTAGATAATCAAGTGACAAACAGTATAGTGTAAAACTCATTCAAAAAAAAAAAAAATGCAGTATATGGTTTCTAATTTGCTAAGTAGTTGAACTTCATAAGCCTAAAATTAAATGAAGAACAAATGTGAGTTCAAATAAGCACCTATAAGAATTCTCAAGTTCATTTGTCAACTTAATTTTCATGTTCCTCTAATATATCACTTTTCTGTTAAAGTAAAATCAAATACACAGTTGAAAAACAGACTGATGAATTGCGAACTGGGAATCCCCGAACCAGATCTATAACATAAATTAAAGTAAACCCGGAACATCTAGCTACCCATATTAACATAGGAAGATAAACACGGGGTTTAAAAGAACATGTAAAAAGAGATGAAATGTGAACAAACCGTGCAATTACTTGTACAGTTCGTGCAAATTTCCCCATTAGAACCCAGGAAGACCTTGAAGGAAAATGCAGCAAAGTTGAGATTTGAGAGTGGATGGGGGGCCTTGAAGAGCTGCACAGAGACTTGTAAAGTGTCGGAATGAGCTTTCAAGCACATACCCAGAAAAACCCAACAAAGAAGAACCAGCCATGGAGCTCTGTTCAATCCCATATTGGGGGAAAAAAAGAATTGGTCCCAAACTGGGAAGTTACTTATGTTGCATGAGTAATTTGAGAGGTAGGCTTGCCTCAATAACTCGATTTTAGCCGAAAATGAAAGCAAAGCCAGAAACGAAGGTAGAGAGAACCGGGGCGGGGTGGGGTTAGAGGAAATAATTGAAGAGAGTGGAGTTAGAGGGTACAGGTTAGTCATTGTGGCTAACGAAGGTTTTAATTAAAGGATATTGCACATGAGACCGACAGTAGACACAGTGAATCTGCATGTGATAGATGTGGGGGGGCGAGTGGGAGATAGAGAGAGATGGAGAGAGATGCTAAAATGTGGTAAGACGACAGCGAAACATGCACGATTCCACCATGAATCCACAAAGAGAGAGCCTCTTCAGAAGAATCAGAACATTTGGAGGGAAATTATTAACAATAATAATTTAAGAGGGATAGCAGTTGCCTTATCCTCTGCTGCGAGATACATCCAAGAGAAACAGAGGCCGACACCCAGATTGAGGTGTAAGCATTCGTTTAAAATTAAGCTGTCCATAAAATGAATTTAGGAGTCGAAGTACATATGAGAGTCAACTAACTCGGCTTTATTATTAATATTTTTGCAAATTATATAAGGTTCACCAGAATCTGCAATCTTCAATTCATTTTAATAAAAAACCAAATTGTTATTAAATCATAATTGATCACACTTTTTTAAATTATTTTTGCCAAATTAATTTTTTATTTTTTGATTTATTGTCTTAAATTTAGATCCAAAATTATTATATAAATAGTAATGGTGCACTCTTATATCCCTAAATAAAAATTATATTTAAATTTGTGAAAAAATACATTTAAAAAAAATAGTCATAATATTACGAATAAAATTAATATCAAACTGTAAAATAGACAAATATATTTATAAAGAACCGAAAACATAATTAATCACACTTTTTATAAATTATTTTTGTCAATTTAATTTTGTATTTTTTATTTATTATCTTAAATTTGGAAAAAAAATTGACAAAACATAAAATTAATTAGTTTTGAGAGAGATAAGTGGGAATGGAGTTTTGTTTAGTTTGAAATTAAGATTTCTTATTCCAGAAAAGTGAATGAGCCAAAACATGTACCGTAATTAGAGAATGATTATTGATTTTCTAACTCATTGAATAGGATATTTTTGTCTTTTTCTCGAAAATGTGCGGCACCCCTCTTTCTTAAAATTAATAAATTATTAAACAAATAATATTTAAACTTTGGTATCTTCTTTTTTTCTCAACAAAAAATCTAAAAAGTCAAATTTTGGCAATCTCCAAGGCAAAATTTCAAAAAGGGGAAAAAGAAAAAGAGATAAATCGGTGGACAGCTGTACCTTTATTTGCAATTTGTATTTTTTCATAATCGAAAAAAAAGGAACAAATGAAAAGCATCTCAGCTTATACCAAACCAGTCTACAGATGGTCTAAAGCATAACCCAACAACAGAGATGATAACAACTTCACATGCATGGATGGCTTCTCTCTCTCTCTCGGGGGGGGGGGGGGGGGGGGGTTAAGGGAGAGTTCCAAGCACATAACACTTGCATCTTTCCCATTCTCATTTGCTAATTACTCGTCCAATATTTGGTATTTTTCTTTTATTTTTCTAAAAAATTTATTTCAATTTTTTGTGCACATAACAAGAACTCGGTGTTTTTTAATTAAGGTGAAATAAATCGAGTCATTCATGAGTCACCTATGATTTAATTTATTTTAATCTAACTTGATTTTTTATTTAAATAAATTCAATCTAATTAAATTTGATCTCTCTTGTAAATCTAATAAATTACCTATAAATTAATTATATAAAATTTATATCATATAATTATTATTATATATATAATGTTAAAATAATTTTACACTTAATTAATGACATTGTATTTAATCATTATACTCTTGAATTAAAAATTTATGATAATTTATTGTAGAAAATAGATTTCATGATTAAAATAAATCTGCCTAATATAACTAACAAGTTAAGGTAGAACTTATTAGTCTTATAAATGCTAATTTTTTTATTTATCCTAGGTCAATAATTAAACTCAACTTAATAATTTTTTTTTAATATGGGCGTGGCCCAATTTGATTTGCAGCCCTAATTCTAACAATCCAGCCAAACAAGGGGGGGTTTGGTTTGCTAAAATGTTTCCAATTTTCTTTTTTATTTCTATTTTGGGAAAAGAATTTTCATTTTTTAAATTTTGAAATTTGAAAAATGTGTTTGATTTGTTTTACTATTTCTTATTTTTAGAAAATGAAAATAATAAAAATATGTTTGATTTACATATTTTTAATTAATTAAAAATACAAACTCAATTGAAAGAGATTAAAGTTTTAAAGTTTTTTATAGGGGTTTAAGTGAAAAAATCAAAATTTCTAAAGCTAAAATCGGGATTCAAAAAGTTGAAAAACCAAATTGAAGGAAAAGGCAAAGATCAAGGTTAGAAAAAAAATTCACAAAATTGCAAAAGAGGCCATCCCCTTCCTCTAGTGGGTTGTGGTCAAATCTGTTAGATCTGATCACGACCCAACTTCGATGCTTCTTCAATATTCAAATTTTCAAGAAATTTTTACTTAAATTTTATATCTTATACTTTAAAGAACAAAAATCTTAAACTAATTTGAATAAATAATATGCTAAATACTAAAATTTTAGAAATTCGACATAAGAAAATTTCACAAAATTTTTTGATCACCAATCAATATTTTGCAAATTCCGATCAATGTTTCATGATTGTCGATCGACAGAGCTCGACGTCGCCTTTGCTAACAAAGCATGATGAACGTGCATTTCATAGCCTTTCCCCTCTGCGCTCAACACTTCGCGTGAACAAACTCTTTCACAATCTCTCCCCTAGCCAATCGACAGTTTAGCGAATAATCCATCTCCTTCTGACTGTTGTTTGAACGCTACAGTAACAAATAAATAAGAGATACAACAATAACACTGGAAATGATTATATTTATATGTTTGTCACTACATTTTCAATTCGAATAAAAAATACTGAAAATAACTTTTTATTATTTTTTATTTTCAGCTAAATTTAGAAAAAAATTTTAAAAAAAAAAAATAAAAAATAGTTAACCAAACACATTTTCAATACTGTTTTTTGTTTTTAATGAAAATGAAAACAGAAAGGGTCAAACCAAACAGCCCTAAGAGTTTCAAACCCTATTTGTTTGAGGTTGCTGAAGAGTACTTGTGTTCTCACTGATCTCTTGAACGCTCACATTTCAAGGGTGGTTGGTACGCAAAAAGTTTGATATTTTCCTTGGCATCTTGTTACGGACCAACTTGACTTTTGAGGCCGTGATAATTATTTTTTATTAGAAGTTTAATTTATGTATAAGTTAAAAATAAGTAATTTTTTTTACTAATAAAATGAGTGTTTAAACCGATTATAACTTACTAATATCACACAAGAATTTCAAAAGGAGACTTCACTTGTATTATGGTTTAATATTTTGTCTTTTTTTTTTCAAAAGTTAGATTGTCTTAATAATTTTAAAATAATTTCAAAATGGCCATAGTTTAACGATAAGATAAATGGATACGAGTTATTTCTTCATCAGTAATATTTTAATATCATTTTAATCTTATATATATTTTTTTGATTTAATTATTTTTTTATAAAATGATATTTTTAAGTGAGACAATCACAATATTCTAAAATGAAATAATTTGAAAATGTAAAATGAATAAAAATACTTTAAAAATTTTTAAAATATAATTAGAGACCTAAAGGTCTTTTATACAAAATCTCAATTTATTGGTATAAAACTCCAACACAATTTTTATGCAATTGGATGGTCACCCCGTAGAAGAAATAATATTTTATTATTTTTAAAAAATTTAAGAAAAATTAGGATTAATTTAAGAAATAAACTGAAAATTTTGATTTAAAAAGTTAACTGAAGACAACCAATTATATTAACCATTTTCAAATATTGTGATTAAATTATTTTATAAC